ATTTAGAATTGGAATGTCTTCTTGTTGTATTTTTCCTTTGACCAATATAAAGTGACCATCTTTGTCTTTTTTGACTTTAGTTGCTTTAAATCCACATGTATCTGAAAGTAAGATTGCAACTCCTCCTTTCTTCTGAATTCCGCTTGCCTTTAAAATTGTCTTCCACCTCATAACTCGGAGTTTTATTTTGTCTTTTGAAACTAGGTGTGTTTCCTGCAGACAGCAAATGGATGGCTTGTCTTTTGTAATCCCGGCAGCCAATCTGTGCCTTTTCAGTGGGGAATTCAAGCTATTAACTTTTATTGAGATAACTGATAAGTGTGGTAGTGCTCTATTCATCTTATTTTGTGAGAGTCCATTGCTTAGTTTTATTTTTTGCATCATTGTGGAAGTTAGGTTCTGTCCTTTAATTTCTGAGTTCTTACTTTGCTGTTGATCCATTGTGACGGTCAGTGTGTAGAACAGGTTGAAGTATTTCCTATAGAGCTGGTCTTGTGCCAACTTTCCTCAGTGTTTGTATATCAGTAAATGACTTGATTTCTCCATCTATTTTAAAGCTAAGCTTAGCTTAGCATTATATAGAATTCCGGGCTGGCAATTGTTCTGTTTAAGTAGATTAAAGGGAGATGATCATTGTCTTCTGGCTTGAAAAGTTTCATTAGAGAAGTCTGCAGTCACCCTGATGGATTTGCCCCTGTAGGTCAACTAGCACTTACTCCTGGCAGCTTGAAAAATCTTTTCTTTTGTCTTGAGTTTGGACAGGTTCATCACAAATGTGTCTTGGAGAAGCTCTCTTAGAGTTGAGGTGATCTGGGGTCCGATATCCCTCTGAAAGGAGTGTGTCAGAATCTTTGTTGATATTTGGGAAATTTTCATTTAGAATATTCTCTAGTATGGCTTCCATCCCCCTGAGGCATTCTTCTTCTTCTTCTAGAATACCTAAAACTCGTATGTTTGAATGCTTCATAAAGTCCCATATTCTGTCAGTGAAAATATTCTGCTTTCTCACTTCTTTTCTGCCTCTTTAACTATCTGAGTTCTCTCAAGAGCTTTGTCCTCTCCCTGAGATTCTTTCTTTTGCATGGTCTAATCTTTTGTTGATACTTTCTGTTGCATCTTAGAGTTCCCTCATTGACTGCTTCAGTTCCTTCAGCTCTGCTATATCCTT